TTTCAAAATGACGACAAGAGAAAAATTATGTAAATCCAATCGAATCTTAATTAAATTTTAATTATGATCAAATAATCTTTGAATTATAATCAAACCTCATGCAAGCTTTACTCTAATTATGTCCTAATCATATTTAGAGTTTTCTTCAAACCACGTCATGTTTGTACCACATTCAAGACTTGCTTGGACACCTTATTTAAATCAAGTTTGTTCAAATTATGGTTGAACTTTCTTCAAACATTATTCTAACCTTGCTTGAAACTACATACATAATTTAAATCAGGTTCATGTCAGGTCTCGTCAAAAGCGTTATGTGCTGACTAATGTCTTTTTGGGATTAAGTGTTGGAAAGCGAAAAATCTTTTTAAAGTAAAATAAGTAAACATACAGCATCATTAATCTTGAACAGGAGATAAAAATGAAGACTTTGCCCAGGAACTTTTCGTAACAATTGCCAAATCCAGAGAAGGCATGGGAAAGATGGTCGAGCAAATTGTTGAGTTTGTTTTTCTACCTATGTGAATGTTCTGACTATTATTTTAATAAAATGGAGGAGTTTTTATCTAAGAAAACCTTTCAAACATATTTTTTCAAGAAAATAAATGACGATTATATTTTCCCAATTTTGGCTATAATGGAACATATATTGTTGCGAGATATAGATATACACCAGTTGATGTGGTGTGTGTGTGTGTGTGTATATATATATATAAATCAAACAGGATAACGATCAACGAAACAAAAAATAGAACGAGAAAAATCACACCAGAAAAGAACACACAAATTTACGTGGTTCGACAAATTGCCTATGTCCACGGAGTTGCAGAGGATTTTACTACTTGAGGAGTTTACACCAGTCGATCACCTCGAATTACAAGAGGAATCTCTCACTTCATTGCTCTCTCTTCTCCTCTCTCTTTTCTTCTCTCACTACACCGAGATACACCAAAGAAGACAAACTTACATGAGAAATAAACCCAATTTCTCTTCAGCCACAAGTCATCAAGAAGAAGTCAAGGAAGAATTAGATTCTTCTTCTTCTTTCTTTTTCCTTCACCGCAAGGAAATACTTCTTGCACTTCTCTTCCTTCTATCATGAGGAAACTCGAGGACACTAACTGTGACTTCTCTTGGAACAAAAAGGAGAGTCGTCCGAAGCCTTTGTTGCTAACAGGAAGCTTCGGGATGAAACGAAGCGGTGTTTCGCGAAATGGAGGCGGGAATGGTTCGCGTTGGGAGATGTCGCGACGATTCACCATACAAGTGGGAGTTTCGTGATCGGGAACAGGGAGCGAGAAACGGGAGATCGGGAGGCAGCTCGAGCTCCATCGCTAACAAATCTCCCACTTGGAGACCGATACCACTGCTACAACGTCTTCTTCCTCAAATTGATATCCTCCACTAGCGGTGTTGCCCTTTTCTTTAAATATGAATCCTCCATGAATCCTCCTATTTGAATCCTCTACCTTGAATCCTCCACCTCTGCAACTCAAAGCCCCGTCAGTACACAACTTCAATTTCTCAAGAGTAACACCCTCATTCAACATATCAGAGAGTCCAAATAGCTTTGCACCTCCAAGCTATTTCCTGAATTACTCTTGTCTCTGCTTACAACTCCCACTGCATGGGCAATATTCTGCCTCTGTTGAAAGCCTTTTTCAACAAGTCTAGTCTTGTAACCTCTTACTGACATCACGATCAGTCTTCACCTGGTACACCCACTTGTTGTGCAATGTCTTCTCCCCTGGTGAAAGTTCTGCCAACTCCCACTTGCTCAAACTTTCATCTTGCAAGATTTCTTCATTTCTCTGTGGTTCTCCACCATCATCAACAGAACTATGAACTGTCAGCAATAGTGCATCATGTACTTCTTCAGATATCATATTTGCGCTATCAATCTCCATCTTCTTGGGATTCCTGCAGTTCCTCTTTATGTGGCCAACATTGCCACAATTCCAGCAAGTTGTCTGCTGACCAGACTTTGATTTTGACCTCCCTTATTTGAGTTCCTGTCATGTCATCTCCCTCTGAAATCAACATTCAGTGCCAAACTCGAATTTGAGATCTCGCCAGAATCCTTTCTGCGCACCTCCTCAGCCAAAATCAAATCACGAATATCATCACATTTCAGTTTATATTTACTTGCAGAACTGCTAACTACCATCCTTATGGCTTGCTAACTATTTAACAACAATTCCAACAATATTAGCGCACATATCTCAACATCAAAATTAATTTTAACACATGACAATTAATTTTGTGATAGTAATGAAATCATTCAGATGTTGGGCAACAGAAACACCTTCGACCATCTTCAAGTTGAATAACTTCTTCATCAAGTACACCTTGCTATTTGCCGATGACTTTTCATACATACCTGATAAGGTTTCCATGAGATTCACAGTCGTCCTTTTCTTGACGACGTTGTGTGCAACGGAACTCGATAGGGTCAATTGAATAACCCCTAAAACTTGTCGATCCAACAAATTCCATCAGCCTCATCCATCCTTTTAGGTCTTTTCCTATATAATGGAAGATGAAGTTTCTTCCCATAGAGATAATCTTCTATCTGCATTCTACAATAACCAAAATCTGTGCCATCAAATTTCTTATTCTCTGAAACCTTCACTTCATCTGCATCCATCGTCTTCCTCAGATCCGAATAAAGCTCTGATACCAGAGAACGATCGACGAAACGAAAAATAGAACCAGAAAAATCACACCAGAAAAGAACACACAGATTTAAGTGGTTCGCCAAATTGTCTACTTCCACGGAGTTGCAGAGGATTTTACTATTTGAGGAATTTACACTAGTCGATCACCTCGACTTACAAGAGAAATCTTTCACTTAGTTTCTCTCTTTCTTCTCTATCTTTTATTCTCTCTTTATACGGAGATACACCGAAGAAACTATACACCGAGATACATCGAAGAAGACAAACTTACAAGAGAAATAAACACAATTTATCTTCAGCCACAAGCCACCAAGAATAAGTCAAGGGAGAACAATCTTATTATTCTTCTTTTTTCTTCCTTCACCGCAAGGAACTACTTCTTGCACTTCTCTTCCTTCTATCCTGAAAAAGCCCAAAGAATAGCACCAATCTTGACTTCTCTTGGAACTAAAAAGAGAGTCGTCCGAAGCCTTTATCGCGAGCAGGAACCTTCGGGATGAAAGGAGGCGGCGCTTCACGAAAATGAGGTGGGAACGGTTCGCGTCGGGAGATGTCGCGACGATTCGCAACACAAGTGGGAGTCTCGCGATCGGGAACAAGGAGCGGGAGATGGGGAGGCGGATCGGGCTCCATCTCTAACATATATTAGGCCATATTTCTTTATTTAATTAAACTAAATAATTTATCTTAAAGTTTCATTACGTACTTTGAGATTTAAAGGATTGATTTAATTAAATAACCAATATAACTTATAATTTCATTACTTTTTTCGAGATTTAAGTAATATTATTATGAACATAAATAATTTAAAATTAAATTTGGTTGTTATGACCACCCTAAAAGTTTAACTGCTTAACTAACATATATACCAAATGAGGTAAATGTTAACTCGTTTAGCTACTTATTATAAAATAATCATCAAATTACGTGCACAAGTGCTATTTAAATGTTATTTAATTTTATAAAATTTTTAAATATTTTATCATATCATACATGTGATGGTCCTTCTTTGCTTCCAATAATAATTCAAAAGAAAATGTTTTTATATATTGTCAAATAACTATATCATCTCATGCAACCTAAATGAAGTGTTTGTAGGATGGATTTACAGTTGCTTGAAAGGTTTGTATCGAGCTTCAATACTCGTCAAAGTCATATAAAATCATGACCTTCATAGGAAGTGAAATTTCATACATTATCCAATAAATTTTACATTAATTTATTAAAAAAATGAGTATCCTTCTCATCATTTACTAATCATTCTCAATAATAGTTGATAAATTAGGACGTAAGAGAAATACAATTAAAGACAATTAAAGAGCCGATTGAAATGAGACAATCGAGTGTTAACATTGAAGCCATTAGCTTCAAAATGTTTAATATTCTACATCACACTCTCCACTCTGTATGTGATATGAGGAATATAATATTTCCTTATAGATAAATTAGAATTGACATTTGCATACATAACCACATAACTTAAAATGATGGGAAGAGAAAAGTAATACAAATAAAATCAAGTTTTAAACATATTTTAATCATAATCCAAAATTTAATCAAACATCATGCATACTTAACTCATATTATATCTTAATCTAATTCAAAATTTGTTCCAACTATGTGAAATTATGTTTGTACTTTGTTTGAACCCTGATAGAACTTTGATCAAATCATATTCAAATTTTATTGAACTTGATTTGAACCATATTTGCTCAAATTATGATTGAAATTTATTAGAACATCATCACAACAATGCTTGAAAGTACAAACAAAGTTTAAATTAGGGTGAAGTAAATGTTTGATCAAGGTTATGCGCTGACTAATGTTTTTATAGTATTAGGTTTTGAAAAGTGAATAGTATTTTAAATTTCAATAATCAAGCACGCAACATCATTAATCATTAAAGACTATTCAGAAATAAAGCTAAAAACTCTTAGCTCAACTTTGAAATTTTCCTCTGAATATTTAACATATTTTAATAATATATCAAGCATATAATACATCTTTAGTCTATTTTTTTCTTCATCTCTGGAATAAACAAAGCTTAAATTGAATCATGTTGAAATTTAAAATTATTGAATTTATTTAAAATATTAAAGGAAATATAAATTTTCAACATGTCAACTTAAATTTAAAATAATGTTTAAGAATTTTAAGACTATTTTTTTAAAATATTAACAAAAATTATTTTCATGTTTCAGAATTAATATATTAATATATATTTTTTTTATTTTAAAATAAACTTGATAATTTTGAACTATATGTTGCGGTCAAATATTTGACTCCCATGCTATCTTTCAAAACTAGTGAAAGCCCTTTCCTCTTGTTCTTTTATACTTTCGACGCTTGTCCAGTTTTTACCGTTGATCCCGGTGGGTGTGGGTAGAAGAAGGGTTAGGTGAGCATGACGAGCTGCCCCAAGTATAAAACCGAAGATCAGCTCAATTCTCCCCACCTCGGTCGGCGAGTACGTTGCTGTAAGAAGGTGTTCATATTTTTCCTGCTCTTTTTGACCTAAGATCGATCGGTAACTCCAAACTAATTTGCGCCATAGTCGTTTTTGCTTGTTGAGAATCTGGTTCTGTTGATGCGAGTGTTGTTGTGGGAACAGAGTTGAAATTCGATTTATGTTTTCGTTGTTCGAGTTTGTTTGTAGCTTGCTTACTGGTACCGATCCTTATGAACTGTATCTTATTTCGATGAGCGTGGATTTGTTTGAGTTTTGGTTTGGCTTGAGGTTGCGTTTCTCTTAGATTATGTTTAGAGTTGTTGAGTTTCTATGGATGAAAAATGAAAAAAAAAGACTTTTTATGTTATAAATGATGCTATGATGTTTAGATTTTTTGAATTTCTCTTAAGATCAAACCTTGGTGATATTATGTTTTATGTATTTTGATGTTTTGGATTTTGGCTCAGACTTTCATTGTGTGATCAGTGTAGTTATGATAAAGTTTGGTTAAAAGATTAGCGGCTTAGTTCGTTGCTGTTGCCAGAGGGCAAAGCCTGATTAGATAGTGTAGCTTCTGCAATAAAATAGATTAATCATTCCTCAGTCCATGATTACTGAGGAATACCATGAGGTTATGATGTTATTTTGACGTCTAATCCACAACAAAATGGTTGGTACATATTAAACTGAATTACTTAAGAGAATGTGGATTTTACAATTATTTTTCTTGCATTTTGATGAATTTTTTATGGGAAAACTAGCAAAAGCATATTAGAATTTTCAAATTAATTAACTTTATTTTATGTAAAGAGTAATTATAGAGAAGATAATTGTATACTCTTAGTCAAGTGCTTTTTAATATTGGATGCAGATTACAGCTGTAAGAGCCAAAATATACTCTTAGTATTGCATAGTGCAAAGTATTACATTGAGCCATGTCAAATCCATCTGGTGGACTTCATATTGCGTCAAGAAACAATTCCTTAGAGAGAAGCAATATTCATAGTGAGTCTTTCTTGGAGGAGAGAGATATTGATGGCACACCAGAGACCGGATGTCTCTCAATCGTGGTGCTTGGTGCTTCGGGAGACCTTGCGAAGAAGAAGACATTCCCGGCTTTGTTCCACCTTTTCCGCCAGGTTCATTTTGTTTTTCTTACTATGATATTAATTGCGAAATATCTATTATGAATCTGCAATTAATATAACTCGCCAATACGAATTGAGATAATGAATGATACTGGTGTTGGCCAAATTTCATCATTTATTTCACTTTCAAATTGTTTTAGCCATGTTGTTAGGCCTAGCTACCACAATATGAAATATAATTGAATTTCAGAGAAAATTAAGCTGGTTCTTCATTATATAACATAATTTAAAAGTGCCATTCTAATCAATTCTTTTATTGCTACATTTTTGTGTTATCTAGGAGGAATTTGATTTATTTCCTGAACCATTAGTAGTGGACTACTGTAATTCTGTGCCTCACCTTCTAAAATAAAATTTGTCTTTCTCGTGAACTGCCTACTTGTGCCGCTTTCAACTGCTAATGATTGACTTTGCTATTGGTACAAATGATGGTGTCAGTCCCCGTATTTTTTTTTTCCTTTTGCTACATTTCACTTAAAAGAGCTGAAGGGAAATTATAGATCAAGCTAAGTCCAACTTGATTCCCTTTCCTTGTTATTCTAACTGAAGAAGTGTCACAAATTTATAGGTTCAACTTAGTGATGGTAAAAATTTGGATGAGACTCAAAAGGAAGACTATGGTCAGCCAGAGAGGAAAGACATTATTTATATTCAAATGAAATTAAGTGCTAGATAGATGGTATGAGATTTTTCTCATACTATTCCAAATATCTTCGACAATATATAAAACACGGGCCAAGTTTAATATCGATCAAAATTGAAATGAGTTTCAAGCTTCAAGGATAAAATATTGTGATAATTTTATGTTAAAGTATTAGGAGTTAAAGGGGTAGACCAAAGGTAACATTGTCAAAGTTGTGCAACAAGATTTGTGCAAAATAGATTTAACATTTCACAAAATATTTAGCAAGAACGAATAGAGGACGTGATACCGTAGTTATGATACCAGAGTTAACTTAAACCACAATAGGAAAAACAAATATTATTACTAAAACAAATAAGCGGTTACAATCAAACAACTTTAAAGAGAAAATACAACAACATGACATCCAAAAATTTGAAATAGCAACAGACACGACACAATCACTCAAACTAGAATGGATTTCGGGGTGGTGATGGCGATTAGCAGGTGGTGGAATGAAGGATGAGGGGGTTGGTAAGCTGAAAACAGCAAGACAATGACTTTCTGGGTTCCAGACAAAAATTACGTGACAAATATCGACATGGCATGGCTGTCCGGGATAATGGCAACAAAGGTGAGGGCTGGAACAGCAACAACATGAAAGATGGAGGGCCGGAACAGTGATGGGGGGTGCGGTGGACTGCCGGACAGCCAAAGGAAGGCTGTCTTGGGTGGGGGCAGCGAGGAAACTGTAGGAAAACAGCAGAAGGGCTACTTTTGGGGCAGCCCGCACTGAGGAGGAATTCGTGGCAGTGAAGCGAGAGAGGTTCAGAGGAGTTAGGGAAGGATAAACACCACCTAGAGATCAAGATACAACTGAAGTACCACCTGAAGCCCTATGACAGAACCCTCAAATTGAAGAAGAGACGTTGACGACTATCTCGATACAAAACACAGGAAAAATTGACTTTCAAACCGTAATACAACATATATATAAGAATATAATTAAAAAAATAATAAAGGATAACAGGAATCAAATCAGAGAAAATGAATTCGGGATTGATTCAACCTATCTCCCCATCTCTCTCAATCGCGGGAATTGCGTGGCTTGTGTCTCGCATCCGGAGCCGAGCACTCAAGCGTTAGGTTGAGGATTGATAAATCACTTTAAAGAGAAAATACAACAACACGCCACCCAAAAATTTGAAATAACAACAGAGACGACACTATCACTCAAACTAGAATGGATTTCGGGGTGGTGATGGTGATTAGCAGGTGGTGGGATGAAAAATGAGGTGGTTGGCAAGCTGAAAACAACAAAACAATGACTTTCTAGGTTCCAAACAACAAGTACGTGAAAAATATCGACATAACATGGCTGTCCGGGATAATGACAACAAGGGCGAGGGTTGGAACAACAACAACGTGAAAGATGGAGTGCTGGAACAGTGATGGGGGGTGCGGTGGACTGCTGGACAACCAGATGAAGGCTGTCTTGGGTGGGGGCAGCGAGGAAATTGTAGGAAAACAGCAGAAGGGCTACTGTCGGGGCAAAGCCCACACTGAGGAGGAATTCGTGGCAGTGAAGCGAGAGAGGTTCAAAGGAGTTAGGGAAGGGTAAACACCACCTAGAGATCAAGATACAGTTGAAGTACCACCTGAAGCCCTAGGATACAACCCTCAAATTGAAGAAGAGACATCGATGACTATCTCGATACAAAACATAGGAAAAATTGACTTCCAAACAGTAATAAAGCACATATATAAGAATATAATTAAAAAATAATAAAGGATAATAGGAATGAAAGCAGAAAAAATGAATTCGGGATTGATTCAACCTATCTCCCAATCTCTCGCAATCGCGGGAATTGCGCGGCTTGTGTCTCGCATCCGGAGCCGAGCGCTCAAGCGTTAGGTTGAGGATTGATAAACCACTTTAAAGAAAATACAACAACACGCCATCCAAAAATTTGAAAAAGCAACAAATACGACACAATCACTCAAACTAGAATGGATTTTGGGTGGTGATGGTGATTAGCAGGTGGTGGGATGAAGGATGAGATGGTTGGCAAGCTGAAAACGCAAGAAAATTACTTTCTAGGTTCCAAACAACAAGTACGTGGCAAATATCGACATGACATGGCTATTTGGGATAATGGCAACAAAGGCGAGGGCTGAAACTGCAACAACATGAAAGATGGAGGGTTGGAACAGTGATGGGGGGTGCGATGGACTGACGGACAGCCAAAGGAAGGCTGTCTTGGGTGGGGGCAGCGAGGAAACTGTAGGAAAACAGCAGAAGGGCTACTTTTGGGGCAGCCCGCACTGAGGAGGAATTCGTGGCAGTGAAGCGAGAGAGGTTCAAAGGAGTTAGGGAAGGGTAAACACCACCTAGAGATCAAGATACAGTTGAAGTACCACCTGAAGCCCTAGGATACAACCCTCAAATTGAAGAAGAGACATCGATGACTATCTCGATACAAAACATAGGAAAAATTGACTTCCAAACAGTAATAAAGCACATATATAAGAATATAATTAAAAAATAATAAAGGATAATAGGAATGAAAGCAGAAAAAATGAATTCGGGATTGATTCAACCTATCTCCCAATCTCTCGCAATCGCGGGAATTGCGCGGCTTGTGTCTCGCATCCGGAGCCGAGCGCTCAAGCGTTAGGTTGAGGATTGATAAACCACTTTAAAGAAAATACAACAACACGCCATCCAAAAATTTGAAAAAGCAACAAATACGACACAATCACTCAAACTAGAATGGATTTTGGGTGGTGATGGTGATTAGCAGGTGGTGGGATGAAGGATGAGATGGTTGGCAAGCTGAAAACGCAAGAAAATTACTTTCTAGGTTCCAAACAACAAGTACGTGGCAAATATCGACATGACATGGCTATTTGGGATAATGGCAACAAAGGCGAGGGCTGAAACTGCAACAACATGAAAGATGGAGGGTTGGAACAGTGATGGGGGGTGCGATGGACTGACGGACAGCCAAAGGAAGGCTGTCTTGGGTGGGGGCAGCGAGGAAACTGTAGGAAAACAACAGAAGGGCTACTGTCAGGGCAGCCCACACTGAGGAGGAATTCGTGGCAGTGAAGCGAGAGAGGTTAAAGGAGTTAGGGAAGATAAACACCACCTAGAGATCAAGATATAGTTGAAGTACAATTTGAAGCCCTTGGATCAAATTGAAGAAGAGTCGTCGATGACTATCTCGGTACAAAAAACAGGAAAATTTGATTTTCAAACCGTAATACAACACATATATAAGAATATAATTAAAAAATAATAAAAGATAATAGGAATGAAAGCAGAAAAAATGAATTTGGGATTGATTCGACCTATCTCCCCATCTCTCGCAATCGCGGGAATTGCGTGGCTTGTGTCTCGCATCCGGAGCCGAGCGCTCAAGCGTTAGGCTGAGGATTGATAAAGCCCACCTTAGATTGTTGGGATAATGTTGATTAGAGTGGTGGTGGTGGTGATGATGATGATGAGACATTCATTTGAATGTAAATATATAAATTCATACACGTGCTTATGTATGCACATTCTGAGTTGTTTGTAAAACAGTTGAACTAATTTTGAGCAACTCATTTTCTATCCAAATTATATTTATCTTATCTAAATAACGTTCAATCGATTATTCCTAACTTTGAGCTTTGAGGGTTTTCTCACCATGGTATTATTCTCAGTACATAATGTATGTTAGCGCTTCTATTTATTCAGAAAACTTATTTTTGTTATGATTACTTGACATGTTTATGCTCTCAAATGCTTAATATTTACAGGGATTTTTGCAATCCAATGAGGTCCACATATTTGGATATGCACGGACAAAGATATCTAGTGAAGAATTAAGAGAGCGACTCCGCGGGTAATGCTTTCTTTCTCGAAGTAATGTGTTCTCATTAATTATCAAATTTAACTTTGTTTTGGTGCATCTTAAAGCTCATGTCATAGCCATTATAATCTTTATATCATCTAAGAGATCATCCCAAGCATGGAATCAAGTCCACTCAAATTCATGCAAGACTACAGAAATTGAATTTAATCCCTTAAAATATAATAAAATTATTTATTTTCCTTCAAGTATATGATCTTTCAATTTATATATTTTTCTGCAAGTATATGATTGATTCTCCCCAATTAAACTGTTTTCAAACCTCTTCCACAAATCAACCTAGCCTGCCAGTGCAGCTAGCTTTTTTTTGCAACTTGTTTGCTTGAGCAAGTGATTAACTCTGCGGGAAACTTTCCACTTTGATCCAAAGTCAAGAGAAGGCTTCACAATATTGAAATAATCATTAAGGGAATGCAGCGAATGATTTTAAATTCAAACAACATAATTGACAACTAACAATTACTTAATTATCTACTCTTTATTTTAAACATTTTGCATCACACATGTCGTAACATCAAGTTCAATTATGCATGACTACTAAACAAGCCAGCAAAAGAAACACTCCTAATGTCTGTTGGAACCAGTCCTTCACACAATACCAACTGTTGTTTGAGTGACACTTCAAACTTCCATAATGAAAGCACTTTAACGTGTGCTTAATCTTCTCAATTGGAACCCAAAAATAAGATACACTATCCTATGATAAACTACATACAAGTATATCAAACGGAAATGGTGTAGGTGCATGATGGAAACATTTAGTATGGTGGAGAGTGCTTTGAGTTCGAGGATTCTGCTTGAGCAGACTGAGCAAAATTGGCGTGAGAGGTGTTTCGAAGGCTGGAGCATGTAATGGAGCAACGAGAGAGAGGGAGATGGGATGTGGCATCATTCTCATGTGAGACGTAGGAGGAGACATTTGTTTTGGTCTGCAGCTGAAGAGGAGAAAAATAGAGGGTTTAATCAAATGTTATTATTTTCTAATATATATATATTTTTATTTGTCCCTTTTTTTGATTGGGACAATTCGGTAGTGGGGCATGGGGAGTAGAATATCTTGGGTGCATGATTTCAGCGGGTATGATTAAGTGGGATTTAAATTTTGACTGATTTTCTTATTTTATATATAGAGATTGAGTGTATTAATTTTTGCTAGTGCATTTTTGTCTATCATGCATTCCGATTTGTGAGCTGTCTCTACTTTCATGTTTCCCTTGAAATACATGTCATTTGTGTACGCAACTCATGCAATGTGGGTGTCATTTTTGAATAATTCCTATGTTTTGGACACACTCATACAATCTATTTTGTGATCGTACGACATTTTAGTGATGTCAGTGTTAATCCAAGCATTTTGGTCTCGATCTGTGTCATGTTTGATCGTCCACCGTTTTCATCTCGTTTGATCAACCTGACTTGTATAACATATATGGAAATCAATAGTTTAATCAATTTAACTAATTAAATTTATATGGAAGTAAAAAAATAGCTCAATAGGACAATGGAGAAAAATGATTCATGTAGGTGATCCCACTTAGTAGGATAAATACTTGTTGTTGTCAAAACCTCAATAGCTCAAAAAATTTATGAACACACGCAAATGCATGCACATGTGCACACACACACACTTGCATGCACACTCATGCTTCCTGGTTCCATGAACGTTTGCTAGAGGTTACTCTTGTTGTTGGTGGAAGATAACGATTTGTCCATGCAATATTGCAGCTGATGTTTAAAGATATATAATGCCACCCTAACGTCCCTTTATACCTCTCTCTCTCTCTCTCTCCTTTCTTTAGTTTTTTGCTTGTAATCCTTGGCTAAATTTGATCGTGTTTTGCATTGATGAGTTTTACTTGGTCATTTGATGGCCTCTATCCCTACCTTCTTCTATCTTGGCTGGTGGTTCGATCATAGTTTCTGGTAATGGTATGTTTGGTAGTTAGATTGAGCGTGCACCATCTGATGAGTCATCTATATTCATGAAAGAAATTCGAAGTACCCAACTTTTGCTAAACATGAAAAAAGCATTCTTGAAACGCAATGTTCCCTGATGGCTGCTGAACGTTTTCTGTGGAAAAGTTATGCAGATGTCATTTTTTCAAAATAAGAGAAAATAATAAAGACAATATAGAAAAAAATAGAGACATGGATTCCTGGATGGATATGTGAAGAAACATGGGAAGTGTAAAGAAATAGTTTGATGGAATGATAGATTCTTATATCGCTGGGCAATGCAAAAGCTGTTATGCAACATTAAATTTTGTTGGGAGAAGGGTTGTGCTTGGATCCTTGCTCTTTGTAGGAGACGTGATATACTTAACAATTTGGCATGTTCTGAACCTCTTAGATCTACAACTTGCCACTTACTACTGCATGCTGCATAAACTTTCTCCGATTGGCCCCCACGATGCTTACCACATGCATTAATTTTCTAATTCTATATGCAGATATCTTAGTAAAGGAAAGGAAGATTCAGCTGAGTTAGACTATTTGTCAAAATTTCTGCAACTGGTAAGCCTCATCTTCAATGCTGTTTTTTTAATATTTGCACATTTGAATACTAAAATTATCTGGCCATAATTTTCAGATAAAATATGTAAGTGGTTCTTATGATGGTGAAGAGGGTTTCCAGTTATTAAACAAGGAAATTTCGGAGCACGAGTCCTCAAAAAATACTCAACTCGGAACCTCACGCAGACTCTTTTATCTAGCACTTCCCCCATCTGTCTATCCATCAGTCTGCAGAATGATCAGAAATTATTGTATGAACCAATGTAAGACTTGCTACAGGGTTCTATTTGAATAGTAGGATTATTTTCATTGTAGTTCCAACTGCAGAGCATTTTAACCGGCGTGAGAATTCTTGATATTTATCCGAACTCAACATTAGATGCTGTATTTAGGTTGGATTTCATCCCTATCTTAAGCAAAAGTAGCATGTGACTTTTTGCAGCGTGGCTAATTCTAGTGTTTTTTTACTACTATTTTATGAAACACGAGTTTATCACCCTTTTGCAAGAGTAAGATTGTAGTTAATAAAACTAAGATGCATGGAAATAGTCTTCCTATGATGTAGGAGTAGGGCTGTCAATTTGGCTAGTTGCTCGTTAAACAACTCGTGTTCGGCTCGTTAAACAGCTCGTGTTCGGGTCGTTCGTTAAGCCTAACGAGCCGAACACGAACAAATTTTTAAGCTCGAAATGTAAACGAGCCGAACACGACCAACAATTTGTTCGCTCGTGTTCGGCTCGAAATGACTCGAAAAAAAAAAAATATAACTTTTTATATAACAATATATTACATATATTATTTATATAATAATATATTATATATATTTATGTCTAAGTTTAAATCATAACACCTCATGTGACAATGTGGTTAGTGTCTTCATTTGTATAAATTTGATCCAGGTTCGAATCCCATACTTTACATCTGTCTTTCTCAATTTTAGTTTAACGAGCCAATTTCGAGCTGAACACGAGCCGAACATGAACACGAATATTTAAATCGAGCCGAACATGAGCACACTGTTCACGAGCCGATTTCGAACACGAGCTAATTCGAACGAGCTGAACACGACCCAAGCCTGAGCTCGCTCAAGCTCAGCTCGTTTACAACCCTATGTAGGAGCAAGGTTGCCAAAATAATGTCCTTTGTGAAGTTTTTAAATACCTTTTGGGGTTGATGTATCATTTCACTAGAGGAGGTACTTTATCTTGTAGATTTGTGCGTTTTATTATTTTTTTTATTTATCAATATGCAAGTTCCTAAGGTGCAGTTTTTATAATTTAATGGTAGGCGTGCATTGTTTTAATTTTTTCTGATTTGTTTTAAGCACCATCTGGAGTTCTGAAATTTGTAAATTTTCATCAGCTAATAGCATGTGGTTTTATCTCTTAGGCCACATTTTTTCCCCTTTTTTCCTTCCAATTTCTTATAATTGTTTCTGGTTTCTTCTTTTGTTTGTATCTTATACTTATAAAATATTTGTTCCCTCATAAGCAGTTTTAAAGCATATTATATTCCCAAATTTTTGTTTTGATTGAGGAAGTAATTAATCTTATCGTGGTAAAAAATTTGAAGAGCTCTTTTGACCGTTGAGCTCTTCTGAATGAGTTTACATGTGGCGTGCAATTTTTTTTTTTTGATGATAATTATATATTTATTTTAATTTATTATTGTGTTTGCGTATTTTCATTTCTTCATTGTTTTTCTGTGAGGATAAAAATGTATTTATTCATTTTATTTATGATTGATTTAATGAAGCAAGAAGAATGGCTCTTCATTTCTTGCAAAACATGTTTTTAGAGCACTTTGATAAGTGGATGCTAAAACTCGAGTTGCCTTGCTTGCAGCCATTGGTTTGGAATGTTGATGGCTCATTTAGTATAATTATTTTGTGCTATCATATGTTGATAATGTTTCGAAGTTCACGCCTTTGTGATATTTCTTTTCTCCTGGAGTTTTTCAAAATTTTAAATTAACATAGTTAATTTTTTACTTATGCACATAGTAACAATTATTTCTGCTCTCTAACTCCTAAACTTTTCCAGCTGATCTTACTGGATGGACTAGGATTATTGTGGAGAAACCTTTTGGAAAGGACTTGAGTTCAGCAGAAGAACTGAGTGCTCAACTTGGAGAACTGTTTGATGAAAAACAACTTTACCGAATTGATCACTACTTGGGGAAGGAACTGGTGCAAAATCTGGCAAGTCTACATTCTTACTCATGCTTAAGTTTCTTAGCACTCAACTTACTTTTTCCATGGCTTTTATTTGGCAGCTGGTGGTTCGTTTTGCAAATCGCTTTTTCTTACCACTTTGGAACCGTGATAACATTGACAACGTACAGGCAAGATTTTCTTTTCACTTAGTGAACTTCAAGAGTTCAAAGTTGGCAATGTTGCATTGGTCAAGGATAATAATCTCAGAAAGTATTTTATTTTATTTTCAAAATTTTTAATTTTGAATTATGACAATTTGGCAAAAAATTTTGAATTATGACAATTTGGCCTGAACGATCACAATGCCATTCTCCAATTTCCAACTGTTTCATCTTAGGTTCTCAATTGTTTCTCCTGGTTGAGATGCTACCTGTAGATATTTGCCTTGTCTCACTTTCAGAATTGTTTTGCTTACATATCATTAAATATTATATTAGTCGCTAACTCCAATAGTTAAATGAAACATCTTTCCTGGTTTTTAAAATTAATTTCAAAATAGAATGAAATACAGGATATTAGCTCTTTGCATTATAATGCTTAAATTGTTGTAAGGGATTATGCATGCTAGTGGGCTTCAAAAGTTCCTGGCTTGGCTCTGCTGAAGATATTAGAGTTGATTTTCAGGTTGAATTTTTAGAAAGTTTGTAACACCGTATCTTAGCAATTTAAAGGTATATCCCAAATTTCGCATCTCTTAGAATTCGATCAAGTCAATTTTATAAAATTTTACACGTCGAATTGATCAATTTGATATATAAAACCAAGCATGAATTTTTAATGTATGAGAATATATAAAATTATGAAGTTATAAATTTAATTACCTTTAATAAATCTGAATTATCCTCTTAATCCGCCATCATCGATTTAGCAGTCGACATTCCCCGCACTTAAGGACACTTGCTACTGCTGGATATGTTCAAGTGAAGGGGATTAATTGGGATCTAAGTTAAAATGCCGCATACCTTTCATTTCTCCCATCCCACATCTCTTGGTTTCAAGGGACTGAAGAGCTCATGCGATCCAACATTGTAGCTGGGCGGGGTGAGTGGCTAGGCAGGGAGTCGGAGCTCTCGACTGGGAGTTTCAGGAGAAAGACAATGAGTATAAACCTCTCCTTCACGATATTTATGACATTCCCGTCCTTCCTTATACTTCCATTTTGACGTTTCCTCGAATCAATGCACTTTTTCATGTGGAGGAATGCTCGGCTTCTCTCCAATTTGCTTTGGGAACATGATTTTTTAAGAGGAGTCCTAATAAGTTGAAGAAAATTCTGTTTTTCTTTAGCCACCCCATTTGATTTTGAGTGTTAGGAAATGAGATTTGATGAAAAAAGCCTTCTTTATTATGAAAAGGAGATTATAATTTATTTGAAAATATATCTATTATTAACCATTGTAATCTTTTAATTGTTAAATCCTAATTGATTTTTTATGGTGACAAAAGTTGGGAGAATATGAGAAGCATCAAAATTTTATTTTGTAAGATCTATCCATGTCACAGTTATTAATAAATGTTACAAATCCACCGACTTCAAATATATTAAGGGGTCCCCAATTATTAGATTAGATTAATAAAATTGGAGTAAATTATTGTTATTCCTTTACAAGAAAAGGTATTTTGTGATGTTGAACAAGCAGAGAGTCTTTCAATAAAAAATTTCGTTGTTAAAATCTTTTTATAATGAAGGAAATATATATCCTAGAACCTTAAATAATGCATGCCCTCAGTGATAATGGCGATCTAAGACGTTATCTTTTTTTGAGCTAAAAGAGATAAGGGAGAGTGACGAGTGATTCAAAATATTTTTGCCTCCAATAAGATATAGCCGATTCTTTTGTCTAGCTTTGTCCACTTGTCTTCTCTTAGTTTGGTCCTGGAAAACACAATGATTGGCAAAAAATATCACCTAATAGTTTTAATCTTTTGTTATTTTCTTAATAGATAAAAGACTTTTATAAGGTTAGAGATAGTAGTGCATTAATGTGAGTGAATGAAGGGGAGAGGCTGTAATCCACTGCCTTGCAATAGTGGTAAAGGAGCCATTTACTGCTTCATTTTTTATTTTTTGTTATTAGGGTAGGTTTGATAGTTTAGAAAGACATTGACATATTTTTAAAATGATTTGTGGAAACTTGAGTTAATTACCCTAGTACTAGAGGATCTATTTTAGGTATTGCTTACAAAAAGATAAAAGTTTTATTATTTTGAGCTAAAGAGCATTACCTTGATGATTTTTCAAGTTAAGAAAAATTTTAGACCGATCAATCTCTTTTGAGTTAAGTTCTCTCAACTCCATAAAATGAGAATGTCCTTTTGATTGATTTTCTTTGTATCATCCACACTAACTAAGGGTTTTATGTAATTTTTTTTTCGCAATTTTTCTTGGTACATCCCTTTTTTTGTAGTTGCACAATTGTTATGGCTTTTGGCGGAATTTTTGCCCTATAAATTCAATGCCAATCAATTCTTCATTTTGAGTATTTATGAATGCTATGATTGGTCCTTTTGAGTTGGTTGTTGACAATGTTATTGTCATTTTTCTTTATTTAGCTTGAAAAAGAGAGAACGCTTAATTGAAGAGGAATGTGTCCTCTTTTCAAGAATTGGATATTGATGTGCCTCGACACCAAAATCAACGACAAACCATGATATAATTGCAGTAGATAGGTGGAATAAACACAAAGAAGGTTTGCTCTTATGAAAACAAATGAAAACACCAAACAAAAGAACACAATAGCCAACCAAAAACATGCATAAAAAACATGCCCTATGTTACTCTCTTTAATAGAATTCTCTCTCGACAATTCAAAAACTTTTCTTCCAATCCTTCTCTTCAAACTCCTTAAATTTCTCTTCCTTGAATATGTGATTAAGTCCCTCGCTGATCTCCTTTGCTCCCTTCCTTTTTCTGTCATAGCCTCCCTCTCCTTTCCTTTTTCTGTCGCCCACCCCGCTTCTTCTCTTGGACGCATCCGACCCGCTTGGCCGGTTGGGGGATGTTGGACTAGTCCCTTCTAGATCGGTTAACATCCAGGCGGTGTAACGATACACCCCTCCCAAAGCCGTATCTTGCCCTCAAGGTGGAAGGATGGAAACTGCTCGTGGATCATCTCGCAAGGCTCCTATGCTGCTTCATATTCCGACAATTATTTTCACTTCATCAATACCTTTTTGGCTCCCCCTACTCCTCGATGCACTCTTTCGATCTCTATTGGCTCCATAATCACTTCTAAATCCTCCCTCAGTGTCGGTGGTAGTGTAGACGAGGGTGTATAATCTCTAGTTGCACGTCTCAGCAGTGATACATGGAAGACCATGTGTAGTGCGGACGATGATGGTAACTTTAAATGGTAGGTCATTGCCCAGATGCGTACCATTACTTTATAAGGCCCAAAGTGTCACAATGATAGTTTCTTGCTTCTCCTTCTGGCCAATGTCTTCTGTTAGTAGGGCCTCATTTCAAGTAGACCCTGTTTCCTGGTTCAAATTGCACCTCTCTTCTGTGTTTTTCTGTCTTCCTCTTCATAATTTGTTGAGCTCTCAGTAAATGGCCCTGGAGCTCTGCTAGTATCTTGTCCCTCTCCTCCAAGTACTGATCGACGTTGGATACTGGTGCGGTAGTGTGCCCATAATGTATCAAGTGGTGGATGCCACCCATACAATACAATGACAGGGTTTGTTTGTGCTGCGGTGTGATATGATGTATTATACAACTATTCGGCCCAAGCAATCCACTTAGCCCATAGTTTCGGTATATCAGATACAAAACAATGCAGGTATGTCTCCACACTCCTGTTGACCACCTCCATCTGTCCACCGGTCTGGGGATGATATGCGGTGCCTCTCTTAAGGACTGTCCCTTGCAACCTAAATAGCTTCCTCCAGAAATGGCTGAGGAACACCTTGTCTCTGTTCGATACACTTGGTTATGGCACCCTGTGCAAAAAAAATACTTTTTGGATAAATACTGTCGTAGCTGAGACTATAATGTAGGGATGTTGTAAGGGAATGAAATGTGCATACTTAAACGAGCTACGACTAATATAATTACCGTGAATTCTTCTGATCGTGGCAACGCCTCGATAAAATTCATCGACACTTCTTTCCAAATCTTCTCTGGTAATGCTAATGGTTGTAGTAAGCCCCCTGGTGGGGTGTTGTGCTCAGGTACTTGTGACGCCGACACACATCACATTTTGCCACCATGTCTCCTCCGCGTCTCTACGCATCCTCGCCTAATAAAGCTTTGTCGCCAGACTACTGTAGGTTTTATGTACCCCCGAATGACCCCTGATCACACTGCTATTAAACTCTTGTAATAATCTGGGAATATATTCCAACGACTTGGGCAGCACGAATCGCCCCTGGTGGAGCAGTTGCGGTCCCCTCAATGCATATCCTGGATGACTCTTTGGATCCTGTAGTAATTTAGTCCTTATTTTCCTCAGCTCCTCATCCCTTTCGCTCTCCTGTCTCAAGGCCTCCCAATCTAGGACCAAGGGTACCGATAGGGCCGCCAATTGGGGTTCGTCCACTTTTCTAGACAGTGCATCAACTGCTCTGTTTTCCAGTCCTGACAAGTACTGAATCTCGAAATCATATCCTGTAGTTTGGATAACCATCTCTTATGCTTTTCAATCACCATCCGCTGCTATAGAATATACTTTAAACTTCTCTGATTTGTCATGACCAAGAAATGTTGTCTCAACAGGAAGGACCGCCACTTCTAAATGACCAAGACAATCGCCATCAATTCTTGTTCATATACCAACTTTAGCCTTGCTCTGGCTGAAGTAGGCTATCAACCACTGATCCTGCATTAACACTACCAATTCCTGTCTTGATGCATCCGTCTCCACCACAAATGGTTTATTGAAATTTGAAAGCGCTAATACCGGTGCGCCAGTCAGGACTCTCTTCAGATGCTCAAATGCTCATGTGGTTGCTTCGCCCCAATTGAAATTGTCTTTATTCAACTGCTTCGTCAATGGCCATGCTATCGCGCCATATCCTCTTATGAATTTCCGATAGTAGCATGTGAGTCCCAAAAATCCTCTCAACTTCTTCAAATTCCTTGGTAAGGTCTAATCAATTATAGCCTTGATCTTGTACTGATCCACTGCTA